AGCTGCCAAAATGGCAAATACAGTTTTGGGATGCAATAAAAGAAGTATTACTTCCAAATCATGAGAAGTACTAGTTCCCCTATATTCCTCACTAGTCAGACCTCATCTAGAATACTGTGCATAGTTCTAGCACAGAGATTTAAGAAAGGTGCAGAAAAATTAGAGAAGGTCCAGAGGAGGGCAACAAAAATGATCCAGGGTTTGGAAACACTGCCCTGTGAGGAGAAAACTGGGTATGTTCAGCCCTGAGTAGAGAAGACTGAGCGAGGACATGATATCACTCTACCTCAAAGGCTGTCACAAAGAGGAAGGTCAAGATCTCTTTGTGCTCATACCAGAGTGTAGGACATGGAATAATCAACTCAAATTGTGACAGCCCAGATTCAGGCTAGGTATCAGGAAAAAGTTTCCTCACTGCCAGAACAATACAACTGTGGAATGAGTTGCCTGGAGAGGTGGTGGGCTCTTCCACACTAAAGACATTCAAAAAGAAACTGAAGAGTTGTCTGTGTGGGATGGTGTAAATTGGTGTCCTGCAACAGCAGTGGGTTGGACCTGATGGCCTTCTTTGCCCCTTCCAACTCTCTGGTTCTGTGATACGTATTCACAGAAACTCTACATTGAGCATACCTGTGTGAAAGGCAACATCATCATGAGCTGCCAACATGAGAAATCTCGGGCCTGTCTCATTAGTTTATTTAAGTTTAATATTATTTATTTGGTTCAAAAGTCCAAATACAACATAATTTAAGAGTTTAAAAACACATTATAAAAAAACTTCCCACATCTGCAATACAGTTTTTACAAAAACTTCTCAGAAGTAGTTTTAATCTTGCAGCATCAGGAAGGGTTGAATATTTCAACAGCCATTTCTTTAAAATAAAACAAAACCAAACCTAACCTAACCTAACCTCTCTCTTGCCTGTTCATATTTTGGGCAATAAAAGAAAACGTGAAAAGGCTGATCAAGCTCTGACAAGATGCAGTTACAATGGTGTTCGTTCAGGGGTACCTTAAGAAATTTGGCCCTTATCTGGGTGGTTGGAAGTGTGTTACAATGTGCTACCATATAAGATTGTCTCAACTTGGGAACTGCCAATATGTTAAAGTAAAGAGGCAGATCAAATATGGTGGAGTACTTAATTCCCAAATGTAAAGGGGAACATTTAAGTCTCGGTAGCAGAAGCCTGGATTCTTCTAGTGGCATATTTGTGTCCAGAAAAGTGAGACAGGTAACCATTTTGAAGCTTTCTCCACATATGAGCTCACAGGAACACACTAAACAGTCATCCATTGGGCAACAGGAATTATGCTGTAAGAGGCCATTGGTTTTGTTCTTTCAATAAATCTAAGCAAAAATGTGCTCCTAGGATATATTTCAGTGTCATCCTTTCTAGCACAAAGTACCAATGCAACAGGCCACCTCCAAGTTTTGAAAATGTTCTTGGCTGAGAAGTTGCTATGATTCACAGAAGTTTCTTTATTGCCTGTTTCAGCTGGCTTTAATACTCCGCAGCCCATAACAGACTCTAAGATAGCTACTTTTGTAACAGGCCTGGCCTTTCAGATATACAATCATACCAAACTTTGCCCCTTAAAATCTTGTTAGATATGGTCACTTTTGAAACTTAATGTTGCACAGCCTTTGATGCTTGAAACAAAGCCCAATGCTGCATTTTGTGTCCACATCAAATGCTTTAAAAATCTGGAATGTATTTCTATCTCACACATAATATTTGCTTCAGCTCAGCAACCACTGCTGTCCTTCAAATCTCCCTGAGGCTTGCCCATGGCCCCTTTGAATAAGGCACATTTGAATGAATTGTCTTGACACAACAACAGTGCTCTTGTTTGTTTCTCCCAGCACCCAAAACCATCGCTGAATGCTCTGCGTGCTCCAAATGGAGTGAAAAGAGTGGCTTAGACCCAAAGCTAGCCTGCACCGGTTGAGCAAATCAGCTCCACAAAGATGTTCCAAGTGCCCCATCCCACTAGAGTCCTTTGTGCCCATCACACAGCGTTCCAGAGGGCTCCTTGCATCTCAGGAGTTTTGGCAGAAAGGACAGACAAGAGAAAGGAAAACTTGGCACATTTTACACCTAGAGTTAATTAAAATGAAGTAGACAATAAAAACTCAAAGTTTGCCATGAAAGATACATTCATGTAAAACTAGATAAATGTGAGATATTGCCTCAAAATAACGATAAAATGCAATACTATATCAAACATACTGTTAGATATTTAAATGCATCAATGTAAGATACTAACACTTCTGTTCAAGCAATGCTGATATTTACAAATTCTTAGCATTGTTCCAACTATGAATTTTCAGACCAATTCACAAAACATTCTCATTCTGCCTCAGCACAGATCCAGGATGTCTAGCATCAGGGCTTACACTTAAAATGGATACTTCAACAAACCCCTTTTTTCAGACTTGAAGGATCTAAATAAAGTTTCTACATTCAGATGTTGAATCTCAGAGCATCACAGCAATCACATCTACCTACAAGGATGTAATTATTCCTAGCAGTTTTTACATCCTTCCGGATGACTTCTAGATCCAGGTTTGTATCTTCAGGACATGGCTTGGGAGTACATGAAAATGGCTCCCACAATTCCAGATAGAAGATCCAGATGTAGTTGAACTGAAACTTCTAGCTATACCCTGGAGATCCACCCCTATGCAGATGAGATTGCACTGTGCTGGATAGACCAATGACCTGTCTTAGTATGAGGGAGCTTTACAGATGTGATCTATGCACAACCGGATTCACAAGATATTCTGAAATTCCTAACTGCCAGGTGCCAAGAATGAGTCAATGTTACTTGTACACTTATTTATAGCATCCAGTATTAGAGAGAAGCGATTGCTAAGGCCCAAGATCAGATCCAATGCAGAAGTTTGTATGGAGCAGGTTTTTCATTACATCAATTTTCATTTCTATGGGCTCTTACCCTGTGAAGTTATACCTTCTCACTGAGTTCAGTGCACTTTCAGTCCTACTCAGTTCAGCATAGTGTTACATTAACAAGCAATGCCTAACCTCTACAAGGCATTAACTGCTCCCCAATGATCACAGAAATTACATTTCTTAAGCTTTGATTTAGCTCTGTCTTAAGAGATTCTGTGCAAAGCTCTAACCCTGGCAAGCTCTTTGCTAGGGGTCCAGTCCCAAGTTCAGGGTAAGAACCCAAAGAAACAGTTTCCAAAATTATAGCCCTACAATGTGGCTACAGAAAGCCAGAAACACCAGGTCACATGCAAAGTGCTGTATGTTTATAGGATGGAGGTTAACAGAGCTGGCTCTGCACCCTTATCAAGGATTAGATGCTGTTTTATTTGTGCTACCATCAGTAAAGCAGACCCACAGGATTAGTCTGCCATTTAATATAAGGTTCTTGTTTTTGGAAAGGAAAAAATACCAAGAAAAAAACTCTTTCTGACATTAACTTTCCTAATACTACATATTTGAATCTTCAGTAGAACAGATGGCAAAATATAATTTATCTACTGGGAGTTAAATTGAATTTATTAGCTGTAGGGGACAGTAAAGTATTAGAAGAAAAGGTTCAAACTATGAAAATACATTTCATTCAAGACGCTCTTGATGAGGCATTAAATAAAATGTAAATAATTTCTGTTCAGAAGAAATTGGCATGAAGTTTTTGGCATTTGCAACTTGAATGAGCCTGCATTTTCTAACCTAGATTTGCAAAGTAGAATAACACCATTTACCTGGATTTGCAGGGAGGATTATATCAATTCTATTATCACTGTCAGTAATGAAACACAGTGTTAATACCATTAGTATCGTGCAGAATAAAAAGGGTGTGATTAGTCTCAACTTGGATTTGCAACGAAAAATATATTAAGCAAAACATTGTGAAGCTGGATATGAGCAATGAAGAATGTAAGTGCTATTAACTTGAACTTCCAGTGCAGAAAAGTGCCAATATTACAAGCACGGGTTTGCAATTAACACAGTGTCAATGGAGCCGACCAAAAAAAAAAAAAAAAAGTTCATAATAAGAAAGAGGTAGTTAGCATTGACCTGGATTTTCAACAAAGACTATGACTAGGCTCTGATTTCAAACCATTTGATTTTTGGGTCCCACAAAGGAAGGTCTTACTGTCATTATACCAGAATATCTCTTAAAATCAGAGGATGCTATTATGAGGCCAAACAACTATTGCAAATGGGGGTCTGGGCATAATGTAGCCACGTGCATAATGTGAAATCGAATTTTCTGTTGAGCTTCTCACAATGATAATCCAACCCTAGATGGCAGCTGAACTGCCAGACAAAAACTTCCATTTCAGCAAGTCATTATGCATTAGTCCTGATAAGGTTCCTAATTACATTTCCAAGCTCCTCTTAAAGAGCACTCCCAACTTCAGCATAACATTGCCTCCCCAGTATGAGATTTATCTTTGCTACAGCTGCCCAGTCAAGGTCTTTCCACAATGACTCAGTTTGCTCTATAGGTTAGATGAACCAAGACCCAGCGGAGTGCAGTGTCATGCAAACCACTTCATTCACTCCAACACCTGCTTGGTTTAGACAGATCCTGCAGACACTCCAAACAGGAATAACATTTGTACTCAGCCAGAGCCCGACCACTGAATGTCTTTCTGGGATATATGGAACATTGTCAGACTACAGCCAGCCATGGTGAATGCAGGTGTGATACATCCTTTCTCGCTAAGAGCCTCCAATAATGGCTTGGCTAGAGATTAGAGCATGTCCTATTATTCTAATTCTAATTATGCTAATATTACTCTATGTGGTTCCAAGCATTTTGATACTTCCTGGGGAAAGTGTTCTTTTTTTAATTATCCAAATCCTGTTGGCGCTTGCCTCTTCCTCCAGCTAAGTCAACAGCAGATGTGAAGGGGTGAAAGGCATGTTAATCAACATGGTTTTAAAGGGCTTGCTGCCTCCATGGGTAACCTGTGCCAAGTTTGCCATCTCATTCAAATTTATCCATTGCCTTACCTTTTTCTTCTTTGCTCTCTTGACCAGTTTTATCTACTTCAGGAGCCTGTAGCTTTTCTTCCTTCATGGTCTTGTCTTGGGTTATCAAAGTCTCTGAACAGGGAAAAAAAAAGAATTATGGAAAATACAAACCACGCTTAGTGCCACTGAAGTCAGTGAGGCTTATATCTCAGTAGAGATGTCTAGTGCTGCACTATGAGGGAATTTAATTTTCAAGCAATATCTTCTGATCATGGTTTACTTGGGGTGAGAAATATACCAGGGGAAAAGATTTAAGCTCCTGGTTAGCTTCAAGCTAATATGCTCAAATTATAGCAATGGATATGGCCAAAATGTTCAGCCACACCAAACAGAATCAACACTCACAAGTATAGCAAGGAGAATAATAACACTTTCAGTATCACTTAACTTCTCACTCAAGACGTGCGAGCTATCTAGGATAACAATTAGTATTCATCTTATTCTGGATCTAGCACATGAAAAAGTAGTATATACCCCTTAAATGTACAATGAAACAATAACAACTAAAACAGAATGATACTATAAGCTTTATTAATAATTGCTTGATGATTGTGAGTGTTTCCCCTTTTTCTTGCTCATGGTCATTTGGTACACAAAGTACCTTCTGCTTCCATGTAGGAGACTTGAGAATCCATCTGAGTGTTCATTTCAACTTCAGTAGAATCATCTTGGACTCCTGTTGATATCAATGGTTGGGAAATTGTGTCAACATGATAATGATGTACATAAACAAAACCCCATCAGAATGTAGATGCAAAACTGAAAAGCAATGCTGTGCCACATCAGAACATGTATAAGTGAAATTCAGATTTGCTGTGATGATTGAGAGTTACAATTGAAGCACAGTTGCAACCAACTATCGAATCATATAAAATTCTCCAAAAAATATGTCTTTCCATTAAACAGGAGCATATGATTGATACTCATGTTGCACTACATAATAAACAAACCTGCAACCATAATCTTCTCAAGACACAGTGTACTTAGATTATGACCTTGGAGCAATATTGTCATAGCCTACTTCTTTTTTGCTTAAAGATGATGCTACTCAGTCATTTGCAAGAGTTATTCACTGAATTTTATAGAGGCATCCCTCAGGCATCTGAGGAGAAAGTTGAGTTGCTATGAGAGGGAAATGTGGACTCTTATAACTAAGAGAACGTATAATCCCACTGGATTAATTATTAGGATCCTACAGTAGAAAACCTACCACCAGCTTGATCTTGTTCACTGACTGCAGGAGGAGCTGGATTATGCTCTTGTGTGGCTTTGGAATCTTGGGAGGATTCTAACAGGGAAATAAAACAAATGCAACAAAAGAGAGTTTTCTGCTGAATATGCTTCTGATAAAGAGATAATAAAGAGCCTCTGATAGGTGCTAAGGTATTTAAAATGGAAATATCTATGTTACACAAAAGCACAGTTAACACAATTTATGCATTTTCAAATGAGCCATTAAATATCGAAAGCTTATAGGTATTGTTATGCACATACATACATGCATTGCTATGCACATACAAGTCTATCCATACCCTTATACGTAAAATAATTCATAACATTTCATTCTGTTTTTCTGGCATTCATCCATGCCATACAAGAAAAAGTTCCCAAAATGGGGTTCTGCAGGTCATTCTCCACTGAATCCCTGAATGCATTGATTTGCATGTAGAAGAATAAATCATTGCATTTGGAGACAGTTCACTGTGGAACTGTGGACAGTTCACTTCTCCTCCAACCCATCACATGTGGCCCTGCCAGTTCTAACCATTCCCATGGAAGAAGAAGTAATGCTCACCCCGCCCCTCCATGGGGAGGCAGCTCTCTGCCAGAAGCAATGGCCTCACTGCTAGACAGGAGAGTTGGACAACAGCCTAGATCTTGTTGTTTCTCCCCACAAGCCACCCTCCATCTTGACAGGCCATTAGTAAGGTGATATAGAGATATAAACAGGTAAGAAGGTATAAATACGGACTTCAAAAATAAATCTGTGGTCAGATATCCCAGTCCAGTCCAGATGATCTGTGGGTGCAAAATGTTCCAGGCAAGGTGCGTGCTCCTTCCCCTGAGCCAGCCTTTGGAGCTGTGTGTGCACTAGTTCTAGCTGGGCCAGGCAACACACACACACCCTTAGCAGATGGCCAGTGCATCCAGCTCTAACAGAGCTCCTGGGAGAGTCAGAGGGATGGAATGAAGTCATTTCTGCCCTCCTGCCCTCCAGTTGGAGATTAACATGCTAGCCATCTGTTTGGCAAGTACCTGAAATCAATTTGCTTCCCGTGCCTTGGATCTGAGAAATGGGACCCACGTCTATAGACCTCCATGAATTCCTGAAGGTGACAGACAATTAATACTTACCTGGACGAAGAACTACGTGTGACGATAAACACAGGGCTGTCACAAAAAATCTTGTCTCTCCCTCAGAAGCTCTAGTAAAACTTATCTGTGTCCTGATCTCACAGTGTTACACAGTTTGCTAGGCAAACTCCTGCTAAGGGCAGGAACTGCTGTGTGAAGCCAGGGTGGGAAAATCCAGAACATCATCCCATTTGGACATGGTGAACCTTTACTCTCTATTAGTCCAGCAGGTGGAATGAACTCAACAGCCAACTGCCATTTTGGATGGCAGGTTTACTGTTATGCCCTAATCTGCAACTCTGATTTCTATCCCAGAATCATTCATTAGAGAGAGACATGGTTGATATGGTAGTTCTATGCCATTCATAATAAAATGCTATTTCTTCAAAGCAAGCACAACAGGGATGGAGTCATTAATGCCGTTACAGGTCCAACAAGAATCATGTATTAGGTCAGCCTTCCCCAACTTGGTGCAATCCAGATGTTTCGGACTGCAACTCCTAGCATTCTTCACCATTGACCATGCTTGCTGGGGCTGATGGAAGCTGAAGTGCAAAGCATCTGCAGGGCACCAGGAAAGGTCAGGCTATACTAAATCACATCCAAATGTTGTTGTTGCTGTTATATTACATTTATACTCCACCTTTCTTCCTTTGGCAAGTAACCCAAGGCAGCGTCTCTTCTCCATTTGATCCCAACAATCCTGTGAGGTAGGCTAGGCTGAGAGTACATGAGAGTCACCCAGCGTCACTCAGCTCCATGGCTGAGCAGTGGCAGAAGCCAGATGTCCTAAGTCCCATTCCAACCCTACACCTTACTGACTCCTTTAACCTGTAAGTTGGCAGCTTCCAGTGACAATTTAACAGAAATATTATTTATTAATAATCAATATGAACATGTCCACAACTCCACTAAATCTTGAAGTGCCACCTTCATAAACATGTATTTTGTAAAACTATTATTTAACTGTGGGAAATGGGCCAAAGCATATCATCAGCTTCCCAATCCTGCCAAAAACTATCTTTGCGGGATATCTGAGAAACCTGGGTAGTAAACATCTGATCCAGATTTAATAATCAGTAAAGCAGGTATGCATTGAAAGTTTGAGATTTTAATTAACTGCAAATAATTCTCCAAGGCAAATATTTAATTACCTACACAGCTTCTTTGATGGAAATTGCAGAAAGTTTACCAAGTGAACTTTAGAAGCAGAACTGCACATATACATTTTTTTCAAATTGCCTATGTTAAAGCTTCTCAAACCAATCCACTGAATTTGATTTATCATATTTTGAATTTATTTTTTTTTATTTTTATGTTTTGCTAATACTATCAAGATAATATATAGGCAATTTGGGGATTAAATCATGGAAGCAGGAAACGCTGCAAAGCCATCTAGGCAAACTAAGCAACCTGAACAACTCCTTCTTACTGCAGAATAGTTCCTGTACAACAAATAAGTCTAAGACAAGCCACGGAGAAGGTCAAAGGAAAAAGAAAAAAAATCAGAGCCACCATGAAGATAAAACTGCGTAATTGCCCAAACATAGTCAATTCACAAAAAAGCATGTTCTGCATCATGTCAGACATAATACTGGCAACTAGCATATATGTTCATTGACATCTTGGTCCCATAGCTATTGCAAGCAAGTAAGCTGCATGGATGTAAACTTTTAATATGGCCTGTTGGTCTTTTCTTTTTTTTTTAACTTGGTGTTGGCAAAGTACCTTTTGGAATAAAATCATGTTTGCCTTCATGGAATATTTAGAAGCTTGGATCAGGAGAACTCCCCTCACAACTACTTTTATGCAAAGACTTGATTGTCTCCATCCCCAAGTCTCTTGGCAAACACAATTTTGAAATAGTGAGGAACTTCGCCTCTAGTCTCCGATAAGGCACGTGAATCTTCGTTTCAAAGGGAAAAACTCAAGAACTTCATGGGGAATGTGTGAAGTAGCACTGTGGACCCCAGCTACGGGGCTGATCATAACATTCAGAGTGCAAGCATTCTTCTTCACATTCTAAAGTGTCAATAACCTGTTTCAGTTCATGGAGACAAATATATTATTTTCTTTCATGTTCACATGCCATCTTTTGCTTTTGCTACATAAAAGACTGGGAACAACTCCCATTCTTTCTTTCTCTTTGGACAGCTGTTCACTTGGAACTGAACAATCATCATACTTTCCATGAGAGGTCATTGGCCTGGATTAGAACTCAGGAAAGCAGGTTGGAAATACATAAACCAATTAGGGTAGCAAGTGCAGCTCAAGGGACAGAATGCAGGCTCTGTATGAAGAAGGTCACTGGGTTTTCTTTTTAAAGGATCAGAGATCTGGGTATGGGGAAAGAGGATGAGCAGACAAAACTGGACTAGATGGACGAATGTTCTGGTCTGGTTTATGGCAGCAACCTACATTTCCCTGTATCTAAATACTATGAGCACATTCCATAGCTTCAGCAAGCTGCTTCGGAAGTTCAACCACACATGACCATTGAATGCCTGTAGATCAGGGGTCCTCAAACTTTTCCACCAGGGGGCCAGTTGAAAGCTGCAGTTGCGGGCCAGAAAGGTGGTGCCAGCGGTGCGCGTGGGCCGGTGCTGGGGCAGGGGCAGTGCGCGTGGCAAGGCGAGGCGGGGCGGGCACACACTGCAATGTGGGCACATGAGGCAGCGGCTTGCTCACTTGGAGATCGTCTTCTCTGAGCGAGCAAACCGCTGCGTCCCCGCATGTGGGGTGAGGTCGGTGGCGGCGGCGCTTGCATGGGTGAGAGTGTGCACACGGGGCGGGTCCAAATTGGCATGGTGGGCCGGATAAATGGACATAGAGGGCCGGATCTGGCCCCCGGACCGTAGTTTGAGGACCCATGCTGTAGATCAACAGTTTTAAAATGTTCAAAGAGCCTATGTTGGTAACCTGCTGGAGAATTTCCGTTTTTAACATTGGAAAGGCATGATGTAGATGTAACAAAGGAACAGAACCTGTGAGCAGAATCCAGCTGTTCCTCCTCATGCAATTTACCCTGAGTGTGTGCTGAGTTGCATGCTTGACTAGTGTTTATATCTGTCCATGGATTTTCCGTATCATTGGCAAAATCCCACCCAGTCCTAAAGCTGTCTACACCAGGCAGAGTACTGAAATGTGGTGACCATGTGGTTCAATGTACCCTAATACGTACAAAGCTCTAAAAATAAGCTACAATTGGCATGAAATGCGTCTCAAAGCTTCTCTCATACTAACAGCCAACAGTGCAACATGGTTCTAGCCAAGCTGTGCATATGGCAAAAGCAGGTTTGGGAGAATTTGCCCTTTACACAATGTTGCAATCCCTAAATTAGGAAAGTAGGATTTCTACAAGTTGCCAAGATTGTCAAGACCTTTTTATTTAATCAATATTTTAATATGTATTAATAGTAATTGGATTTTATTGTTTGTATTTTATTAATTACAGCCAGCGTGGAATAGTCAATTTATTTATTTTATTCTGATTTATGTTGTAAGCTGTCCAGAGACGCAAGTAATGGACGGCATACAAATTTAATAAATAAATAAATAAATAATCTCTATGATACCAGCATGCAATGTGTGTGCATGCGTTTATTTCATTTTTGTTCTAATGTACACAACATTTTAATCTATAACCTTTATGAACAACAGTACCCATGCGCTTGCAGTATGCCTTACATTCAGCATACAAGATCTGAGTTCTTGTTTATGCTGCCCTATCATTTTGATTTGTGCATGAAAGTTTTGCCCAAGAAATAAAAAAAGTGGGTGGTGGAGGAAGAGGAGGAGGAAAAGAAGCAGCAGCAACAGTATTCTTAAGTAACATTTACCCATGGAGTATGAATGGAGTACAGATGGGATGAACTGCAAATTTATTTATTTTATTTATTTATTTTTCAATTTATATCCTGCCTTTTTCCTACA